CAAAACGTTTGAAGAAAATCAGCTGGTGAATTTTATGTTTTTTATCGCTCTCTTCCCGGTTCTGCGTGAAAAAATACAGATCCATACATTTTTTATCTCAATTTTGGTAAAAAGACATGATAATCCAGATATTCTGACCTTCTGTGTTCGTCCATCGTACCGTCGTCCGTCTTGTAGAATCACGGTGGCGCCACTTAGCTGAATTTAATTTTGCAACATATTCGATTTTCCCACGAGAATGATATGTTTTCCGCTGAAAAAAGTAGCCTATGTCACTCTACAGCCACCGAACTATCCCCATACAAAAAAGCATGCCATGCCGACGCTCTGTTGAGACGTGAAAGAAGGACAAACTTGTGCAACATATTCGATTTTCCCACGGGAATGAGATGTTTTTCCGCGGAAAAAAGTAGCCTATGTCACTCTACAGCCACCGAACTATCCCCATACAAAAAAAGCATGCCATGCCGACGCTCTGTTGAGACATGAAAGAAGGACAAACTTTTGCAACATATTCGATTTTCCCACGGGAATGAGATGTTTTTCCGCGAAAAAAAGTAACCTATGTCACTCTACAGCTACCGAACTATCCCCATACAAAAAAAGCATGCCATGCCGACGCTCTGTTGAGACGTGAAAGAAGGACAAACTTGTGCAACATATTCGATTTTCCCACGGGAATGAGATGTTTTTCCGCGGAAAAAAGTAGCCTATGTCACTCTACAGCCACCGAACTATCCCCATACAAAAAAGCATGCCATGCCGAGGCTCTGTTGAAACGTGAAAGAAGGACAAACTTGTGCAACATATTCTATTTTCCCACGGGAATGAGATGTTTTTCCGCGGAAAAAGTAGCCTATGTCACTCTACAGCCACCGAACTATCCCCATACAAAAAAGCATGCCATGCCGATGCTCTGTTGAGACGTGAAAGAAGGACAAACTTATGCAACTTATTCTATTTTCCCACGGGAATGAGATGTTTTTCCGCGGAAAAAGTAGCCTATGTCACTCTACAGCCACCGAACTATCCCCATACAAAAAAGCATGCCATGCCGACGCTCTGTTGAGACGTGAAAGAAGGACAAACTTGTGCAACATATTCTATTTTCCCACGGGAATGAGATGTTTTTCCGCGGAAAAAGTAGCCTGTCACTCTACAGCCACCGAACTATCCCCATACAAAAATTCATGCCATGCCGACGCTCTGTTGAGACGTGAAAGAAGGACAAACTTGTGCAACATATTCTATTTTCCCACGGGAATGAGATGTTTTTCCGCGGAAAAAGTAGCCTATGTCACTCTACAGCCACCGAACTATTCCCATACAAAAATTCATGCCATGCCGACGCTCTGTTGAGACGTGAAAGAAGGACAAACTTGTGCAACATATTCTATTTTCCCACGGGAATGAGATGTTTTTCCGCGGAAAAAGTAGCCTATGTCACTCTACAGCCACCGAACTATCCCCATACAAAAAAAGCATGCCATGCCGACGCTCTGTTGAAACGTGAAAGAAGGACAAACTTGTGCAACATATTCTATTTTCCCACGGGAATGAGATGTTTTTCCGCGGAAAAAGTAGCCTATGTCACTCTACAGCCACCGAACTATCCCCATACAAAAAAGCATGCCATGCCGATGCTCTGTTGAGAAGTGAAAGAAGGACAAACTTATGCAACATATTCTATTTTCCCACGGGAATGAGATGTTTTTCCGCGGAAAAAGTAGCCTATGTCACTCTACAGCCACCGAACTATCCCCATACAAAAAAAGCATGCCATGCCGACGCTCTGTTGAGACGTGAAAGAAGGACAAACTTGTGCAACATATTCTATTTTCCCACGGGAATGAGATGTTTTTCCGCGGAAAAAGTAGCCTATGTCACTCTACAGCCACCGAACTATCCCCATACAAAAAAGCATGCCATGCCGACGCTCTGTTGAGACGTGAAAGAAGGACAAACTTGTGCAACATATTCTATTTTCCCACGGGAATGAGATGTTTTTCCGCGGAAAAAGTAGCCTATGTCACTCTACAGCCACCGAACTATCCCCATACAAAAATTCATGCCATGCCGACGCTCTGTTAAGACGTGAAAGAAGGACAAACTTGTGCAACATATTCTATTTTCCCACGGGAATGAGATGTTTTTCCGCGGAAAAAGTAGCCTATGTCACTCTACAGCCACCGAACTATCCCCATACAAAAAAAGCATGCCATGCCGATGCTCTGTTGAGACGTGAAAGAAGGACAAACTTGTGCAACATATTTGATTTTCCCACGGGAATGAGATTTTTTTCCGCGGAAAAAAGTAGCCTATGTCACTCTACAGCCACCGAACTATCCCCATACAAAAAAAGCATGCCATGCCGACGCTCTGTTGAGACGTGAAAGAAGGACAAACTTGTGCAACATATTCTATTTTCCCAAGGGAATGAGATGTTTTTCCGCGGAAAAAGTAGCCTATGTCACTCTACAGCCACCGAACTATCCCCATACAAAAATTCATGCCATGCCGACGCTCTGTTGAGACGTGAAAGAAGGACAAACTTGTGCAACATATTCTATTTTCCCACGGGAATGAGATGTTTTTCCGCGGAAAAAGTAGCCTATGTCACTCTACAGCCACCGAACTATCCCCATACAAAAAAGCATGCCATGCCGACGCTCTGTTGAGACGTGAAAGAAGGACAAACTTGTGCAACATATTCGATTTCGCCACGGGAATGAGATGTTTTTCCGCGGAAAAAGTAGCCTATGTCACTCTACAGCCACCGAACTATCCCCATACAAAAATTCATGCCATGCCGACGCTCTGTTGCGACGTGAAAGAAGGACACACTTGTGCAACATATTCTATTTTTCCACGGGAATAAGATGTTTTTCCGCGGAAAAAGTAGCCTATGTCATTCTACAGCCACCGAACTATCCCCATACAAAAAAGCATGCCATGCCGACGCTCTGTTGAGACCTGAAAGAAGGACAAACTTGTGCAACATATTCTATTTTCCCACGGGAATGAGATGTTTTTCCGCGGAAAAAGTAGCCTATGTCACTCTACAGCCACCGAACTATTCCCATACAAAAATTCATGCCATGCCGACGCTCTGTTGAGACGTGAAAGAAGGACAAACTTGTGCAACATATTCTATTTTCCCACGGGAATGAGATGTTTTTCCGCGGAAAAAGTAGCCTATGTCACTCTACAGCCACCGAACTATCCCCATACAAAAATTCATGCCATGCCGACGCTCTGTTGAGACGTGAAAGAAGGACAAACTTGTGCAACATATTCTATTTTCCCACGAGGAATGAGATGTTTTTCCGCGGAAAAAGTAGCCTATGTCACTCTACAGCCACCGAACTATCCCCATACAAAAATTCATGCCATGCCGACGCTCTGTTGAGACGTGAAAGAAGGACAAACTTGTGCAACATATTCTATTTTCCCACGGGAATGAGATGTTTTTCCACGGAAAAAGTAGCCTATGTCACTCTACAGCCACCGAACTATCCCCATACAAAAAAAGCATGCCATGCCGATGCTCTGTTGAGACGTGAAAGAAGGACAAACTTGTGCAACATATTTGATTTTCCCACGGGAATGAGATTTTTTTCCGCGGAAAAAAGTAGCCTATGTCACTCTACAGCCACCGAACTATCCCCATACAAAAAAGCATGCCATGCCGACGCTCTGATGAGACATGAGAGAAGGACAAACTTGTGCAACATATTCTATTTTCCCACGGGAATGAGATGTTTTTCCGCGGAAAAAGTAGCCTATGTCACTCTACAGCCACCGAACTATCCCCATACAAAAATTCATGCCATGCCGACGCTCTGTTGAGACGTGAAAGAAGGACAAACTTGTGCAACATATTCTATTTTCCCACGGGAATGAGATGTTTTTCCGCGGAAAAAAGTAGCCTATGTCACTCTACAGCCACCGAACTATCCCCATACAAAAAAGCATGCCATGCCGACGCTCTGTTGAGACGTGAAAGAAGGACAAACTTGTGCAACATATTCTATTTTCTACGGGAATGAGATGTTTTTCCGCGGAAAAAGTAGCCTATGTCACTCTACAGCCACCGAACTATCCCCATACAAAAAAGCATGCCATGCCGACGCTCTGTTGAGACGTGAAAGAAGGACAAACTTGTGCAACATATTCTATTTTCCCACGGGAATGAGATGTTTTTCCGCGGAAAAAGTAGCCTATGTCACTCTACAGCCACCGAACTATCCCCATACAAAAAAGCATGCCATGCCGACGCTCTGTTGAGACGTGAAAGAAGGACAAACTTGTGCAACATATTCTATTTTCCCACGGGAATGAGATGTTTTTCCGCGGAAAAAGTAGCCTATGTCACTCTACAGCCACCGAACTATCCCCATACAAAAATTCATGCCATGCCGACGCTCTGTTGAGACGTGAAAGAAGGACAAACTTGTGCAACATATTCTATTTTCCCACGGGAATGAGATGTTTTTCCGCGGAAAAAGTAGCCTATGTCACTCTACAGCCAAACTATCCCCATACAAAAAAGCATGCCATGCCGACGCTCTGTTGAGACGTGAAAGAAGGACAAACTTGTGCAACATATTCTATTTTCCCACGGGAATGAGATGTTTTTCCGCGGAAAAAGTAGGGAAAAGGAGTAAGTCTCGCAGGGAGTCCTTGCCCGACTTTCTTTTTAATTTATATCAGTGTATTGTGTAACTTACAGCATATCGGGGGAATAATATTCTCTTATGCAGATGATACTGCTATTGTCTTTACTGGTAAGACTTGGAATTCCGTACACGAACTAGTTGCTAGGGGCTTAGCTCGTGTGTCGAATTGGTTGCGGGATAATCTTTTAATTTAAGTTTTTTTCTTTTTTGGAGTAGTTAGCCCGAGTATTAGTAACGAGGGATTTAAAAAACGCATGTAGGAAACATAGTGTTTATTCAATATTAACAAAACGTAGGGACCAACATTTAGACAGAATTTTATCAGCGATGCGTGTTGACTGTGCGCTGAACGGTGGACATGCCGTCCACGAACTTGGTGCGGAACAGCACGTTGGCGTTGTTGAACATGCCGTCCTTCAGCGACACGATGATGAACTGCGGACAAAATACCGAATTAACATCTGGATGAAACATATTTAATTTTGCACCACAGTTGACATTTCTCTTCACATTCAGGGCATTCGGTGACTAGCGGCACTCAGATAAAAATACTAACTTGTAATTAGGGCTGTTTTTCTTTCTTTGAGTCCGTTGACAGTGAGGAACAATTTTTTTCTAGTAAGGGCTATGTGTATCTGTGTAAGAAATATCCAGTACCATATTGTCCTGGTCGTGAGACGCAACAGAGAAACAAACCGCAGCGTCCTTATAAAAACATCCAAAAAATAAAAAACTGCTGTCGCCAACCTGCCTGCCAAGCGTGACAACAGTCGCAAATATCCCGCTATTAGGCTATCTATGGGGGAGGCCTTTTTCAGCAGTTTTCTTCATCAGTTTGATGGCCTGTAATAATATCGGTATGAAAGTCAGTATATTAGAGGCAGTGAGACGCGTGTACTCAGTTCTCATGGATGACAACTGCCGTGCGATTTGCGCAGCATTTGATGCCTCGCACGACCACACTGTGGAATTTAGTGTCGCCATCGGTTTTTCTTTACCGGATATGACTTAGTGACCTTCAAGAAAAGAGCATACGCCTTTTTAAAAAGCAGGCAAAGGACCTGCAATTTCTTTGGTGTTGCAGATGTTCATGGGCGACGGTGATCAATAAACATAAGGTGAACCATATTATGCTCATATGCGTCTTCTTCCATAAAAAAACGCTTTTTTGAAGTCAGTTGCAGGTCTATTGGTTACTAGTAGGTTACAGTTACCATTTAAGCATTAGATAGACAGTTATTTGACTGAAGCATGACTAGCACCATCGAGATTAGCAGAACTGATCACCTGCGAGTGCTTGAAGTGCTCCTTGAGCATGTGTCCGATATTCTGCGTATGCGAGAGGTCCAGCGCAGCATCCACCTCGTCCAGGATGTAGAGCGGTGCCGGCTTAAACAGCAGCAAGGCTAGCACCGGCGAGATTAGCAGAGATGATCACCTGCGAATGCTTGAAGTGCTCCTTGAGCATGTGTCCGATGTTCTGCGTGTGCGAGAGGTCCAGCGCAGCATCAACCTCGTCCAGGATGTAGAGCGGCGCCGGCTTGAACAGCAGCATGGCCAACACCAGCGACAGCGCCACCAGCGAGCGCTGCCCGCCCGACAGCTCGCCCAGCGACTCCTTCCACTGCCCGTTGAACCCCACCTTAACCTGCACGAACCATACCATTTTCATTAAGCAATCGTCTCGAGTAATGCCAACTTCTTTAAGTCTGTTTCCAAAGTAGGCGGATGTACGAAGTACATTATGTACATAAACCATGCTCAGCGCTTTACTTTTATATCAAGGTGCGCTGATATAGCGTATTATGATTATTCAGTCGTAAGGTATGTTTCTTATACTCAAGAAGTTTAACTATTCTGTTTTGCTAAACAAGTATAGACACTACGTTAAAGTAGGATAGGGTATAAAGTTCATGTACGGTAGTGTATTTAGCGGTGTAGAGCTACGTGATTGAGTGTGGTGTTGTGTGGCAATATGTGACGATATGTGGTGTTTGGCGGTGTATTTTGTGTGGCAGTGAGTGCATTAGTTATACAAAACTAGAGGAGCAAACCACATTACCGCGCGTCGAAAAGTGTGTAACCACTATCCAACCACGACGAAGTAGCTTTGAAATTACTAAACATTTTAAATAAACATATAACTGCTCACTAAGATTAGATAAAGATAGGCACACCAAACATGCAATGGCGGGTTGGTGTGGCTTACTATATGAAATTTAACTGAACTTTAACTGAAATTTAAATTTAATTTGTTTTTATTTTAAAAAAGTTGTTTTCTTATCAGGTGAATAGAATAAGTTTTTTTATTGTACTAATAAATCAAACAATATAAAATAGGTAATAAAATATAATTAATATAAAATATAAAATTTATATAAAAATAAAATTATAATCAATATAAAATTATTAATATAGAATAGGTAATCAAATATATTTAATAGATCATTCATGAATAAACTAAACTAAAAATAATTAATTATTTTGCATGTAAGTTAAAACGTAGTTTTTATTATAATTTCCAAAATATTTCAAATCAGAGGTAACAAATTAACTTACTTCATTAATTATAAAATCTCCCATTAATGTGGGATAATCACAAAGGCGGAAAAGTGGCAACATTTTACCTAAATTACAATATACGATAATTTTATTTAATTATTTGAGGTTTTTACGTTTATATGAAAACATGAACTAAAACTTATGTGTGGAAAGTGATTCCGCTTGATTTATTATGTTTTTGTGACCTTGGATCGCATTCTTTCACTACCTACGCATTTACCCATTTTTCGTCGCGGATCGTTCGGCTCAACTCTGTCTGCGTCACATTGAACACTGAACTGACGTTAGCTAAGCATATGGCTGTGGCCATATGTGCAGTGGCAACACTTTGGCGCGGCAATTACTAATATAGTGTAATATATAAATCAATGCAGTGAGTGTGGCACTGTGTCAGTGTGACTGTGGGTGTTGTTGTGTAGCAGTGTGGTGCTGTGTAATTTTGGCGTATGGTGATGTATGGCGATGTGTGGTGTGGTGTGGCATTGTGACGGTGTGTGACGGTGGGTGGTGGTAGGTGACAGTGTGTGATGATGTGTGGTATTGGGCGGCGTAATATACTGTTATGTGACGGTGTCCAACGGTGTGACGGTGTGGCAGGTGTGTATGATGTTGCGTGCAGTGTGGCGGTGTATGAAGGTGTGTAGCGTTGTGTGACGGAGTGTGGTGGTGTGTGGTTTTGTATAGTTGTGTGGCTGTGCGTGTTGTGTGGTGGTGACGGTGCAGTGGTAGCGGCTGTGCGGTACCTCGAGCCCGTCGAGCACGGAGAGGCCGGGCGGCGGCGTGAGACGCGCCTGTGCGCCCGACAGTAGCGTGCTGAAGATTGATCCGAAGTCGCGGTTCACCTGCGAACACGCACGCATACAACTCAGTATACAAGTCAGAGCACATTGGCATAATTGGCCTCCCTTTGGGAGCGCGTGCATTCTAGTCTCCCGCCAAGGCTGTCCAAGGGAACTTCTGTTAACCGTCTCTCCGTCAACCGTCATCTCAGATGGGAGAGACGGTTAACAGAAGTTAAAGTTAACAAAAGTTAACAGAAGTCGATGCAGATGCAGGATACAGAGATGGGCCATCTCTGCACAGGGAGGACGACTCACTAGCCTATGTCGCAAAAAAAGCCAATCTGTTAGGCTCTCTCTTTGCATCCAACTCGACTCTCGATGACGAGGGAACACACCGCCGACCATCCCGTGGTGTGAGTGCGGCATGCCAGGTGTGCGGTTTACACAGCGCTCGATTCGCAAAGCACTCCTCTCCTTGGACGTAAACAAGTCGAATGAGTCTGATAAAGTCCCTCCCATTGTGCTGAAAACATGTGATCCCGAGTTATCACCGGTTTTAACGCGTCTTTTCCGTTACTCCCACTCTAAGGGCGTAGTCACGAATACATGGAAGACAGATTTGGTCTACCCAAACCTTAAAAGAGGTGACTCCTCATACCCGTCCAACTACACGCCTATCACCGTCTTAGGGACCTTCAAGATAAGAGCCTACTCTTTTTAAAAGGCCGGCAACGTATCTTCAATTACTCTGATGTTACAGTAGTTCATGGGCGGCGGTGGTCACTTAACATCAGGTGAGCCGCATGCTCGTTTACCCCTTCTCACCAAAAAAAAACGTCCTTGTTCAACAAAATATTGAAATCCATTATAGACTACCAGATCACGAGCAAGCTTAAGGATCACCAGCTGATTAGTGACCACCAAATACGGATTTCGTTGGGGGCGATCAGCTGGTTCACTGATCTTCTGGTCCACTTGACTCACAGATAGGGTCGTAGTAGACGGTGAATTCTCCGATTACAGGCCTATCAATGCTGGTGTTCCAGAAGGCTGTGTGCTATCACCTAGGCTGTTCCTTCTTGCATATCAGTGATATGTTGCAAACCAGTAGCATTCACTGCTATGCGGACGACAGTACAGGTGAGGCTTTTATACCGGCTGTGCCAGTATTTCTCGGGACCACGTCATCGAGTACCAGACCAAACTTGTATCTGAAGTCGAGTCGTTGTTAAACAAAGTATTGGATTGGAGACGACTACTATCTAGTCCAATTTAACCTTCGGAGCCTACAGGTTTGCGTGTTTACCGCTTAAAAGAACTCTGTTTCGTTTTTTCCCTTTATCCCTTTTTTTGTCCTTTGAAAGAGTTACTCTTTCAATTTCAGGGCACTCCCCTTGCAGTTCCGTACAGTACCTGGAAAAAAATGCCAAATTGGCCTCTAAAAAGCTCAGCTTGCTTCACACACTCGGCACATGGCTTGCAACTTTACAAGGCGCAAGTTCGGCCTGTTCGGAATCCTGTTCTCATCTCTATGCTGGGGCGCCCCAGTGCCAGCTCCTTCCACTTGACCACATATCCAGCGCAGAGCGGTTCGAATTGTCGACGACCGACTTCTTTCTGATCGGCTCGAATCCCTGGCATTGCGAAGGGAAGTTGCATTCCTTTGCATTTTCTATCGCATCTACTACAGAGAGTACTCGTAGGAATTGTTCGGATTAATTCCAGTAACCAAATTTCACGAACGGACATTGCGATAAAATCCACGTTACTATCTACGCCATCTGAATGCTTGGTGGTCCACCACTGTGCGTTTTGGTAGTTTTCTTCGTCGCACATCCTCTTTATGGGATCGTTTACCACCGGCAATTTTTCCCGGACCGATACGACTAAGGGACGTCATAGCCGAAATATGTTAGACCGCGTCGGTAGTACAGAAAATTGTCCAAAGTATCCGCCTAATTAATATTTGTTAACTATTAATAAATCTTATTAACTGTTAACAAATATTTATTTCAATATAAGGCATTTTAAATATTAAAAAAATATTAAAGAACTATACATGATTAATTTAGTACTAATAAGTCTTGTTCATGATCATCATCAATAAAGCCCTTCACAAGTCTACTGCTGAACATAGTCCTTCCCCAAGGAATGCCACAAAGTACGCTACAGAGCCACCTGCATCCATCAACTTCCTACTGTCTTACCAGGTCGTCACTCCATCTAGTGGGGGACGCCCTAAACTTCGGCTACCGGTACGAGGCTGCCACTCGAGAACCTTTTTGCCCACATCGGTGTCGGTTCCGCGAGCTATATGGCCGGCCCATTGCCACTTCAGCTTACTAATCCGTTGGGCTATGTCGGTATACGCCTTGCGTATGTGGACTATGAAAAAGCCTTTGATTCTAACGATAACGTATACAGCTGTCCATAGAACCTCTCAATCTCACTCTTAATCTCAGGTGTCCCGGAAACGTTGCTGCCACATTCGGTCTTCAGCTTAGACAGATCTCTGTGGTGGCAGACTTTAAAGCCATGGTTTCACTCGATCGCTTCTTAAATACGAGTAGTATTAAAAAAAAGTTGCGTAAGTCCCGCCGCATTTCCTTATCCTCTTATATGTATATAAAAAACTATTTGAATTGTTTGATTTACTACAAATACAATAAAGCTTTGATTGTTTTAATTAAAACTAACCTGTTCGCAAGCAGCGACAAGAGTAAGTTTTTTTTTCTCGTCTAATTCGGCCATTACTTGAACGAGCTTCTTACGATCTGCTTCTACAATCTTCTTTTTCCTCATCACATCTTGATACTGTAATACGAAATAATAAAATTAATGAATGAATCAGAAAGCAAAATATATACATATTTGACAAATAATAATCTACAATCATAAGTAAAAAAAGACTATATCTACATATTTTTAAAAAAGAAGTTACATACATAATTCGAGATAAAAAAAAATATCTTACAAATATAATTCTAAAATACCCGGAAATTTGCGATGCACTTTTTTTAATGTTTTCGAATATACACACAAACTGATTACAGAAAAACTGCAAACGTGCTCTTTTAATGGCAATGTAGCATTTCTGCAGAAAAACTACATAGTAAGTTCACTCAATAAGCGATAATGCTTACATCGTTTTGTAAGCTGTAACAGATGTCATTGATAAAAACGTCTTGAAGACGGTTACTTGTAATCGTTGGTTTTCGGGTCCGGTTGTGTTGTGATTTCGCTGGTGTCTCTGACACTGCATCTTACCTTTTACACGCTTACTGAATTTTTTGATAGTTAAATACTAAGTATTAAATAACATTTTATTTTCAAAATAGCCAAATATAATATAATGATGTTACATAGTTATAAGTCCATTTAATTATTTTATTGTATATTTCTTGTATATTGCAACGCCCGACAGGGTCTATAATGGTCACTGTAACTGCTAATGTACTGTACATTATAGAAGCAATAAACGATTTGAAATTGAAATTGAAATACCTAACTTCGATCATGCTTAACAGTGGTAGAGCCACGCAGCAGCCTTTGCTGTTGCAAGTATGGGCCGGCTCAAATCGGGGTGGTACCACAACCTCACAGAAGACCGCCGTGATTTAGAAGCTTAACTTCTGCATTTTGTCTGGTGAGTCCAGGTGGCCGGAGGCCCAATTCCCCCCCCCCCACTTAACATGCTAGCGGAGTTAAATATAACACTACCCAAAGAGGGAAACAGCACCTCCGGTGACGGATAATCCCTCGCTGAGCATTCACGCCCAAACTCCTCTAGTCTTCCTGAGCGTGGGTGCTCAGGCTGCCCGTCGTATTCTGGGGGGGAGGGGTGAAATTCCACTCGAGACTAAACCTGCTCGGAGCAAACGGAGCAATAAGTCAAAGGCGCCCCCCTGCAACGCTACCCCTGAATTTCTGCAACATCAGGGGACTTCATTCAAACCTTAACGCCGTCCTCTACCATATGGAAACGGCGAAGCCAGCCTTGCTCTTTCTAACCGAGACACAGGTGTTTTCTCCGGCTGACACTTCGTATCTGTCCTACCCAGGGTACAGATTAGAACACTCTTTTGTGCCCCGGGCTGGAGTTTGCGTGTACGTCAGAGAGGACATCTGTTTTCGACGCCTCGGCAGGAAGGTACGGATCTGTACATTTTATGGCTACGCGTAGACAGCGACGACCATCCCCGCTCCACGGATGCCTTAGCGGTAATGCCGACAGACCGACTCACCGACCACGTCCAGATGGCTGCAGACTCCGTGCTACAACATGTCCCATCCACAGAGATCGTGATACTTGGTGATTTTAACGCCCATCATGCTGAATTGCTTGGTTCTCGCTTAAACGATCATGCAGGTAAGTTTGTTTGATATTGCTTTGGCATATGTTCTAACGTAACTGGTTACCTCCCTGTTGGACCTTCTGCTGACCTCTCGTCCGGATCAGGTTTCCGTTGATGCCCCTCTTGGCTCCTCGGACCATTGTCTGATCCGAAGTACAGTGCCACTCACGCTCCCATCGCGGTTGCGTACTGCAGGTTGCCGCCGTTTTTGGCATTACAGGTCAGCCGATTGGGACGAGATGCGATCTTTTTTGCATCCTACCCTTGGAGGCGGGTTTGCTTCTCGCCGGATGATCCCAGCGTTGTTGCTGATTCTGTCGCTGATGTGGTGCTACAGGGAATGGAACTTTTTATTCCATCATCTGTGATACCTATCGGAGGCAGAACCCAGCCTTGGTTTGGTCGTTCTTGCAAAATTGCATTACATTATAAACGTGTTACCAGGCCTGGGCTCGCACATCGAAGTCTCGGGATGTAAATACCAGCGTTCTTAAAAAGAAGTATAATTCTGCTTCCAGGTGCTTCAAAAGTGTCATTGCCAAGGCAAAGTCAGAGCAAATCAGCAGGATTGGCGAGAAACTTGTTCGTCTTCCTTCGGGAACACGTGTATTCCGGTCTCTCGCCAAAACTGTCCAAGGGAACTTCTGCCAGCCATCTCTTCCATCTCTGCACAGGGAGGTTGACTCACTGGCCCATGCCGCAAAGGTCAAAGCCGATCTACTGGGCTCTCTTTGCTTTTCCAACTCGACTCTTGATGACGTGGGTAAAACACCGCCGACCATCCCGCAGTGTGAGTGCTCCATGCAAGATATGCTGTTTAGGCAACGCTCGGTGCACAGATCACTCCTCTCCCTGGACATCAACAAGTCGAGTAGGCCTGACGGCGTCCCTTCTATTGTGCTGAAGACGTGTGCTCCGGAGTTGGCACTGGTATTAACGCATCTTTTCCGATACTCCTACTCCCTAGGCGTAGTCCCGAAATCATGGAAGACAGCCTTCGTGCATCCGATCCCTAAAAATGGAACCGCCTGCTCCTCCTCCTTGCCCAGCAGCGTGTGAGCGCGTGCGTTGAGGCCGCGTGCCAGCTTGTCGCGCCGCTCCCGCAGCTGTTCTGTACTGTGTATACTGTGTACTGCACTGAACTGTGTACCGCACTGCACTGTACACACCTGCTCCTCCTCCTTGCCCAGCAGCGTGTGAGCGCGTGCGTTGAGGCCGCGTGCCAGCTTGTCGCGCCGCTCCCGCAGCTGTTCTGTATTGTGTATACTGTGTACTGCACTGAACTGTGTACCGCACTGCACTATACACACCTGCTCCTCCTCCTTGCCCAGCAGCGTGTGAGCGCGTGCGTTGAGGCCGCGTGGCAGCTTGTCGCGCCGCTCCCGCAGCTACTCTGTACTGTGTATACTGTGTACTGCACTGAACTGTGTACTGCACTGAACTGTGTACTGCACTGCACTGTACACACCTGCTCCTCCTCCTTGCCCAGCAGCGTGTGAGCGCGTGCGTTGAGGCCGCGTGCCAGCTTGTCGCGCCGCTCCCGCAGCTGCTCTGTACTGTGTATACTGTGTACTGCACTGAACTGTGTACTGCACTGCACTGTACACACCTGCTCCTCCTCCTTGCCCAGCAGCGTGTGAGCGCGTGCGTTGAGGCCGCGTGCCAGCTTGTCGCGCCGCTCCCGCAGCTGCTCTGTACTGTGTATACTGTGTACTGCACTGAACTGTGTACCGCACTGCACTATACACACCTGCTCCTCCTCCTTGCCCAGCAGCGTGTGAGCGCGTGCGTTGAGGCCGCGTGGCAGCTTGTCGCGCCGCTCCCGCAGCTACTCTGTACTGTGTATACTGTGTACTGCACTGAACTGTGTACTGCACTGCACTGTACACACCTGCTCCTCCTCCTTGCCCAGCAGCGTGTGAGCGCGTGCGTTGAGGCCGCGTGCCAGCTTGTCGCGCCGCTCCCGCAGCTGCTCTGTACTGTGTATACTGTGTACTGCACTGAACTGTGTACTGCACTGCACTGTACACACCTGCTCCTCCTCCTTGCCCAGCAGCGTGTGAGCGCGTGCGTTGAGGCCGCGTGCCAGCTTGTCGCGCCGCTCCCGCAGCTGCTGTACTGTGTATACTGTATACTGCACTGAACTGTGTACTGCACTGCACTGTACACACCTGCTCCTCCTCCTTGCCCAGCAGCGTGTGAGCGCGTGCGTTGAGGCCGCGTGCCAGCTTGTCGCGCCGCTCCCGCAGCTGCTCTGTACTGTGTATACTGTGTACTGCACTGAACTGTGTACTGCACTGCACTGTACACACCTGCTCCTCCTCCTTGCCCAGCAGCGTCTGAGCGCATGCGTTGAGGCCGCATGCCAGCTTGTCGCGCCGCTCCCGCAGCTGCTGTACTATGTATACTGTGTACTGCACTGAACTGTGTACTGCACTGCACTGTACACACCTGCTCCTCCTCCTTGCCCAGCAGCGTGTGAGCGCGTGCGTTGAGGCCGCGTGCCAGCTTGTCGCGCCGCTCCCGCAGCTGCTGTACTATGTATACTGTGTACTGCACTGAACTGTGTACTGCACTGCACGTACACACCTGCTCCTCCTCCTTGCCCAGCAGCGTGTGAGCGCGTCGTTGAGGCCGCGTGCCAGCTTGTCGCGCCGCTCCCGCAGCTGCTCCGAACTGTGTACGAGTACTGCCACTGAACTGTGTACTGCACTGCACTGTACACACCTGCTCCTCCTTGCCCAGCAGCGTGTGAGCGCGTGCGTTGAGGCCGCATGCCAGCTTGTCGCGCCGCTCCCGCAGCTGCTGTACTATGTATACTGTGTACTGCACTGAACTGTGTACTGCACTGCACTGTACACACCTGCTCCTCCTCCTTGCCCAGCAGCGTGTGAGCGCATGCGTTGAGGCCGCGTGCCAGCTTGTCGCGCCGCTCCCGCAGCTGCTGTACTATGTATACTGTGTACTGCACTGAACTGTGTACTGCACTGCACTGTACACACCTGCTCCTCCTCCTTGCCCAGCAGCGTGTGAGCGCGTGCGTTGAGGCCGCGTGCCAGCTTGTCGCGCCGCTCCCGCAGCTGCTGTACTGTGTATACTGTGTACTGCACTGAACTGTGTACTGCACTGCACTGTACACACCTGCTCCTCCTCCTTGCCCAGCAGCGTGTGAGCGCGTGCGTTGAGGCCGCGTGCCAGCTTGTCGCGCCGCTCCTGCAGCTGCTGCAGCCGCTGCCCAGCTACGCCAACTTGTCTCGCAGCAAAGTCGTACAGCCCACCGGCAGCGCCGAAGTACTGCCGCTCCGATAGAATCCACGGGTTCTCGGTCTCCAATGATTTTATCTATAACAAACTTTAAATTTACCCCCATCTGGAGAAAACAACAGGGAAATGTGGGAGATAAACGTATTGTGGCGGTATAAGAATATATACTACCCCATATCATTTCGTGAGTATCGTAAGAGACGATATAAGGATACAAAGTTAGGTGATGCACAACAACTTAATAAAATAAAAAAAAATTGTTTGCCAAGCCGCTTGCCCAACGATGCGACTATGGCAAAGTATTTCCTCTTTAAGGCTTCCGTCTAGCGTTGCTGTTTTACATTTCCAGCCATTAGAGGGGACGCTGTCCCCCGTGCATAAATACGTTCGAGATCGCACGTGAAGGTTGCTCTACTTCATTAAATATATAACTTATTAATTTTTTTTACAAAAATATTCCTTTTACTTTTGTCGTGGTAGTATAATTTTTTACCCTTTTATATTTCATAAATGTCGTTTTTAGTAATGTTTATACGGGTTGTAGGTTTAAAAAACCGAAGGAAAATAAAAACTGCCTCTTCATACAAATTTTGCCTCTACCTTGTACATTTTGTACTTTACTAATACTTTTTCTACTATTTTTACTGACAAGGATATTTCTTCTTTTTTCTATCCATCCTTTTTTATTTTTTTGGTAATAAATTAAAAATCTCCAAATATAAAAGTCCAAGTCAATTAATTTAATACTAATATAAACACTAATACACTAAGAACTAGAACTAATATGAGAATTAAATCGCGTTTATTTCACTACTTTTACTTATTTTTAATTCCCGACGTTTCGGGTGCTTTACAGCAACCATGGTCACGGGGGGGACTGAGATGTTTGACGTCCCAATGTCATAGTTAGTCCGGCTACCTTCAGTTTTTGAATATTAATTTTTGGTCCGATTTACGCAAAACGAGCTTATAGTATCATGAAGTCTTGAACCCGCGTGAAAGAACATATAGCTGACGTGAAGCACCGACGCTCCGGGAAGTCTGCAGTCTGCGAACATGTTCAAGATCGTCCCCACCATTACATTCGTTTTGATAAACCACAAATTCTCGCAAAAGAACACCGATTCCTACCAAGGATGATACGCGAGGCTATTGAAATTAAAAAACATCCAAATTTCAATAGAGAAGATGGATGGGTGCTGCCACCTGCTTGGGATCCTATAATTAACAAAATTAAACCCAAACCTAAGCATACAACTGCAAGACTTCATGATACTATAAGCTCGTTTTGCGTAAATCGGACCAAAAATTAATGTTCAAAAACTGAAGGTAGCCGGACTAACTATGACATTGGGACGTCAAACATCTCAGTCCCCCCCCGTGACCATGGTTGCTGTAAAGCACCCGAAACGTCGGGAATTAAAAATAAATAAAAGTAGTGAAATAAACGCGATAAAATCCGTAAATTTAGTTTTATTCAAAATAATACTATATTTAAATAGAGCAACTTTCACGATATGCTCCGCTCAGTCCATAAAAGCTGCGCGAGGGAAAGAGATCAACCGTGCGAGCGAGAGGTAAAGTAACGTTGAGCAACACTGCACACGTCTGAACGCCGAGAAATCCCAGCGGAACTGAGTTTTCAGGCGCTTCTGGTTTATAAATGGAATATAGGTAAAAAGTACGAAAATATATTGTTTTTATTTTATTTATTTCTAATTCACTTGAAAATAGTTCTGTTTTATGTGGTTTTAAGTACGACTTTGCTACATTTATACTTCTAATAGAAAAAAAATGATATTTGCAGTAGAAAAAATCATGAAATTAGAACTTTTTATGCCCTTGAAATAAGAAAATTAAAGCATTTATAAAAAGTGACCAGATCAGATTATTGTAGACAATATCTAAATAAATGTGGTCGGAATACTTTTCTTGATATTGTTATAGTTTGTACATAGCAGAGGCTTTAATAAGACCTTTTACGCATGAAACCTAAACATGTTTAACGCCTAATAGAGCTATTAATTTAAACACCAAAATAAAATTAAAAAACACTTTCGAAAATATGAAATCCTACACTTTCAATAATGTAAAATATGTTTCACTACTTCTTTTTTAAATACTATAAAAGAATATTTGTTTTGCTGTAAGTTTTGCGAGAACACTAATTTTTACAAGACTGGGGCCTTAAGACAATTTATAGGGATGGCCTATGTTTAGCTGGCGACTTTTGATAACCTGTAATGATGGCAGAACGAAATAAAAGTGAGAAAGAACAAATAACTTGACAGTCTTGTATATATACATAATATGTATTAAATGTTACACAATTATAACGCTAATAAAATAAAATAGCTTATTGCGGATTTTGAGGAATACAAAAATAATGTTACGAGCTTAGGGTTCGTGACAATAAAAATTGCCGATAAAATTACCTAAATTAACACTTTAATTTACTTTACACAAATTAAAACTTAAAACACTAATGATTAAACACACTAATTCACTTAATTCCGCTCCGAAGCTTCGCTTGTGTCGCCGAGTTCAACTCTACCTCGATCGCATCTTTCAGCGCCTACTTATATAAATTAGCAAAATATCCAGAATGTTCAAGTAAACACGCGCAAGGTACCGAGAGTTCGAGTTTTAAACTTCAAGAAGTTTAGTTCTTCGGTTCGAGACTAGATGGCGCTAGTGCGCCGATTTGAGGCATTGGAGCGCGTAACAATAATAATATGTTATTAGTACATACTTTCACAATTTAAATTTTGTAAATAGCAGTACACAACATTTTAACTTTATGCACGGGCCTGTTACGTTCTTCGATACAACACATTTTTTATTTAAAAAAAGCCATTAGCTGACTATTATCTTACCTTCTTTTCACACTCAGTGGCTTCAGTCTGTAACTCTTTAATCTTGTAGTCCAACTCCTTTATTTTTAACTCAAGCTCATTATTATTTTTATGCAATTTTTCCTTCTTTTGTGATAGCTTTGCAATATCGCCACTACGACTTGCTATCTCTGCTTTTTGCTGTTTAATTTTTGCTTGTATTTCTCTAACGGTTTCCTGAAATTAAGAAAAATAGGAGTGATAGGTTAATCTAATTTCACATGGACAGAAACCAGTTTTGGCTATGGCAGACAAAGCTATAACTAAGATTTTAAATATAAAGCAAGCAATAACTCCTTTAGTCACCTTTTCAACAATAAGCTACTGCTTGACAGCTATGCTACCGATGGCAAGTGGTGATGTAGCCGAAGATAGTAAAGCACTATTTTTTTTACAGGAGGCTATTTCTATTGACACCTGTCGAAGGGGCGAAAGACAGGCAATGCCAGACTCCTACTGGCTAAAACGATAATGTGTTTACTTCTTTGTCCTTTGCTGAAGCTACGAGACGGAGGCTACGCTTTTGCATGCTACCGCAACCCCGATGGCGGTAGCTTATACAGGTTCCTTCTGGTTGAAAGAGTATAGCTGGAGTTGTCCACCTCCTTCTTCATATGGGGCACACGTGAACACTGTACTCGAGACTTAAGTATAGGGTGACGGACAACCCACGTGTCCGTCGCTTAGCCTCAATTATGGGAGTGAAGGAAGGCCCGATAAGCTTATGGGAGTTACTGTCACCGTCTCTTCAATAAAAGATTCGAACAAACTCACTTGTTTTATTCTTAATTACGTGCTTAATGCACGCTTGCACCTCTTGCGTCGCCCGTGCCACACATCTTGCTTACACTCAAAAAGCGCTCACAATAGTTTTTCATACCTCCAGAGCTCTACAATGCTCGTTTTAGGAGTCCGGCTCTCCGGCTGCGGATTACGATATCTGCCATCTTTTCTCCCTCTAATCCCCTACTACACACACCTACGAGGTCAAGACACAACTCAGCCCACGCTTGGCAATTCTCTAAACTATGCAGCGCCATCACAGTGGTGGCATCCTGCTGTCTCTCGCCTTTACCGGAAATTCCTCACCTCGAGGCTCGTTTTTTTGCGCCTGCATTCGGTGCTAAGTAAATTTTTTTTACCAGAAATTTTAATGCTATTTTAAAACATTTTGACACATAAATATACACATACCAAGGCATTAGCATGTTCATTTTTCGCCGCAGTAAGGTTTTCTTGCAAAGCTTTGGAGGCCTCATTGGTTTCTTCCAGTTGTTGGGTACTCGTTGCCACGGCTTGCTCCAATTCGCGGACCTCCAGCTTCAGGGTTTCAAACTCTTGTTCCCGTTTCTTCCACGAAGTACTGTGATTCTCTGCATCCTTTTTGGCCTTTTTCAATGCCTCCTCTGCTTTTTTGAATTCTCTGTTATAGACATATTATTGTAAAAAGTACTTCCATTACTGATATTCTTCTACCCAGTTGAATATAATTTTTTTTATATAAATTTAAATATTATTTTACAAGCATTAACTTGATCGCTATGTATATTTAGTATTTAATTGATTTTTGAAATACTTTTCAAAAAGCAATTCGATAATATAACAAAGATAAAAAATGTATAATTGATCGCCAGGAAAAACTTGACGTTCGAGGTCTCATTTTTTTTAAGCAATAACCATACAATATTTTTCGATAATATGAAAGGCATTGGTTGCGCGGAAAACCATTCGCGTTTTTTTTTATTTTTGACGGTAGGAACTTGTCGAATCATTATTCCCTTCCGAAACAATATCATTCGTACCCTCCTATCGACACATCGGGGTGGTGGGGTGGGAGGGGAAAGAAGACGATTCTAGAACATCGCGTAATCATCGGACCCGAGGATATATAAGACACGCGCGACCGACGCGCGCTCTCTTCTCCCGCCGCAGTCGTCGTTGAACTACAACCTCTCTTCTCCCGCCGCAGTCGTCGTTGAACCAACGCTTCTCTCCTGACGCACCACTGGGGCCCCAGAAGTGTCTGTCCAGAGGAGGTTCCGGAAGTCGCCGCTATAGTGATCGACAGGAAGAAGAAACCCCGGTGAGTCAATACTCCTTAATTATACCTGCTTGCTAATAATTTAACCCGCTCCAATCTGTGTTTTTTTTTCCTAGTCAAGCAGGATTCCTTTCATCGATTCGACAAGTAATAGTTTAGTTTAGGGAAGAGCGAGTGCATTGTACCGCATGCTATAGTAGTCGCTTTTAACGTAAGCGTAGAAGCAATCGCATATACAGTCCACTTTAGTTAATATCTCGCGTAATAGGTTTGAGGTTTGACCGGGGAACTAGATTTTCGGCAGCCTTAAACACGTGGCTCCACCATTTTATGGTCACTTCGGCAGGATCTGGATTGGTGTTTAGTGGTTATCCAACCATTTTCTGGTCGAATTATTAAATTAATTGTTTAGATAACGCACTCTAACTTATGGAATAGACTTAAATAGTGTTCGTTTAAATTAAAATTTTGATTTGTTACTCGCAAACAGAATTATTCATTTAATAGCGCTCGTATTTGGTTAAATTTAAAGCTTATTAAATAATTGAAACGGCGTGATAGCAACCGTTTGATACGCTTACCCCACAATTTTATAAAATTATTAGGTTTAGCAAACGACGCGTAGCCTTGACTGCATCGGGCGCTCGATCTGATTACGTAATACGGAACGCCGAGTATTCATCCTACGTCGTTTATGCGTGTGAGATTAATTGTGATTAATATAACTTTATTACAATAATTTAAAATGGCAGTTAGTGGAAGTGAAATCAAAATTAAAACGCTTTATGCCAAGAGGGACATACTCTTTTCGCGTGTGCAAAATATAAGTGATTATATAAAGAACATTCATATAGAGGCAGTACGGGAGGCCTTTTTAAATGAAATCGAAACGATAGATAATTTGCGGACAGATTACGAAAGAATATTAGACCAAATTAATCATTCGGAACTACAAACCGACCCGAAATACATAGTGAACTACCAACCGCTGCTGGCATTCGAAGATATGTTGTGTCGCGTGAAGAGAACCGCAAAATTGCTACAATCTCAAGGTGAAGCGAAGCCTGAAATGCAGGTACGCCCTCGTGACTCAATTAGGTTACCGCCAATAGATATTCCGGTATTCAATGGTGATATTAAGACGTGGCCCTTCTTCTTCAGTAGTTTTCAAAACAATATACACAACAACCCATCGTTATCGGACGCTGAAAAATTATATTACTTAATTAGCAAACTTAGTGGCAGAGCACAGTCGATCTGCTCGGGTTTTACACCTACAGCAAACAATTACGTATTAATATTTGAAACGCTTAAAACTAAATATGAAGATAGGAGAATGTTAGCTTCCGAATATTTGAACCAGATATTCGATCTTAAACCTATATCATCCGCGAACATCAACGGCTTAGAGCAGTTTCTAGATAAATTTGTGGCATCGGTGGCTGCACTTAAGAATTTGAAGTTTGATGACCTTATGGACGTGGTGTTTCTCCATATAGCATTAAAGAAATTAGACTCCGACACCGTGCGTGCGTTTGAAATGGAGCATCGTAGCTCGGAGATGCCTTCCTTTCATTCATTAGCATCGTTCGTGCGAGATCAAATAAAGGTGATGCAGCGCTCACCGAACGTTAAACAGGAGATTAAAAGGTGCGCCGACCGTAGACAGACTCAACCATCTAAAATAGCAGGGTCGTTAACTTACGTAACCGCTACGCCGACATCACTCCAGCATACTTGTATAGTATGTAAAGATAAACACGGTAACTTATATAACTGTGCGACTTTTCGTAAATATTCACCAAGCGAACGTTATAAGTTAGTAAAGACAAACAACCTATGTTTGAACTGCTTAAGCGATAAGCATTTAGTTGCAAAATGCAATTCGAGTTCCGTATGTAGCAAGTGCGCCAGGAAACATCACACGCTATTACATTTTGAAAATAGCAACATAGCGGCGTCAAGTAAGGCGAATAAGGAATTCACCCCTACTAAGGTCAACGATTCTAGCGGTCGACCTGGTGATGTCGCTCTGTGCTCATTGGCAAATATGGGAGCACAACCTCCTTCAACCGTGTTACTGGGTACGGCGCGTATTTTGGTTAGGGATTCGCGTGGAAACAAACAAAGCGTCCGTGCACTGCTGGACAGCGGAGCCCAAAATAGCTTTATAACACGACAATGTTGTCAGCGCTTAGGCTTAGTAATAAATAGGTCACTTTCATGTCCTGTAGTTAAAGGCATCGGAGGTACTAGTAAAGCGACACAGGGATATATAAATTTAAAATTTTATTCTCGGATAGATCGTAACGTTAACTTTGATATAAATGCACTAGTAGTAGATAGGGTCACTGAACGGTTGCCAACCGTTTCGGTTGACACCTCGGCAATGATTGAATTTAAAAATTTGACTCTAGCAGACGATGCTTACGCCGTTCCTGGAAACATAGACATGCTCATTGGGGCATCGCTTTTCCCTCATCTTTTGTTAAACAATAAGGTCAGGGGCAACTCCTCGCATACCGCGCCTTACGCACTGGAAACCGTATTGGGCTATGTGATCCTTGGCTCCGCCCCCATCCTAGATAGTATTTCGGCACCCTCTTATTGTGGTATGGCTGTCGAACCGCTCGAGTCGTTAGTCCGCAAATTTTGGGAGATGGAGGAGGTGAACGTCCCACCCATAGCTAGTCCAGATGACAGGATATGCGAGGAAATTTACGTCCGCACGACCGTTCGTGATCGCGACGGTAGATATAGTGTAGCGCTACCCTTTAAGGGAGATGTTTTATCTCTCGGCGATTCGCGTCAAATGGCGGAAAAACGTTTCTACAGCTTGGAGCGTAGGATGCTCGCTTCGCCCCAGTTAAAGGAAGCTTACGACGGCGTCATTAACGAATATATAAGAGAAGGTTACATATCACTTGTGGCTTCGAAATTAGATAACTACGAAGACACACCGTCGTATTTTATACCACACCACGGAGTCATTAGAGAGGACAAACTTACATCTAAATTACGTGTAGTGCTCGACGCTAGTGCTAAAACTAGCACTCACCTGTCGCTTAACGATATCCTCTATAGTGGGCAAAATTTACAGGGCAGTTTATTTGATATAATAGTCAATTTTCGTTTGTTTAGTATAGCACTATCCGCCGATATTCGCCAAATGTTTCTTTGCATAGGGGTCCGTGAATGCGACCGTAGATTCCAGCGCATTTTATATCGTTTCAACCCAAAGGAACCTCTAATGGTGTTTGAATTTAACCGCGTTTGTTTTGGTTTAAAGTCGAGCCCATTTCATGCGTTACGCACGGTGAGACAGCTCGCTCACGATGAAGGTCCCTCTTATCCTAAAGCTAAGAGGGCAATTGAGAGCGGATTATATATGGATGATTTTGTGTATTCGGTCGATAGCGTGGAGGAGGCCACCCTAACCACCGCCGAGGTTATAAGGCTCATGAAATCAGGTCAATTCGATCTTGTGAAGTGGACTAGTAATTCGCGTCCGGTTTTAGATACAATCCCACTATCACACCGTCTTTCGGCGATAAAGGAATTCGACGATTCCGATACACACAAGGTGCTCGGTCTGTGTTGGTCACCAGAGTCCGACGTGTTTAGCCTTAAGGTAAATCCGCCCGTAGAGAAATGCACAAAGCGCACAATACTGTCATGCGTTGCTAGATTATGGGACGTCATGGGTTTCGTAGCTCCGGTGGTATTATACGCTAAGCTTTTGATTAAACAACTTTGGTTATTTGAATGCGATTGGGATGACTCGCCGCCTGACAGCATTGTTCGATTGTGGCAGCGCTTTAGAGAGGAACTTCCTTTACTAAGAGAAATTAAAATACCGCGTCATATAAATGTCGATAGAAATAGCAGCATAACGGTTGTTGGATTTGCAGACGCCAGCGAGAAGGCTTACGGGGGCGTTGTATATTTCCATGTCCAGAATAATGGTAGAAATTCGATTAGCCTCATTAGTTCTAAGTCGAGAGTCTCCCCCCGTAAGGTTGTCTCTCTGGCGCGCTTAGAGCTTTGCGCAATATTAGTACTCACCAAGCTTATTACCACAGTTATCGGCGCATGTAGGGATAGAGTTCACATAGAAAGAATAGTTGCCTTTTCCGACTCCACCGTCGCCTTATGTTGGGTTCATTCTTCACCCCACCGTTGGGATACGTTTGTCGCGAACCGAGTGGCCAAGATCCAAGACGAGTTAGAAACGCGGAACTTTTATCACGTGTCCGGTAAGGAAAACCCTGCCGATTGTCTATCCCGGGGACTCACCCCGATGCAAATAATGGACCACCCGCTTTGGTTCCATGGACCTTCTTGGGTTCACTTGGATCCCTCACAATGGCCAATAACCGATTTCGAACCTTCGTTAGTGTCACAACCGCCGGAAGAGAAGAGACACGCTCTAGTGGCGAACGTTTCGAGCGAGGTTTCTCCAATCATTGCTCTGGCGAACCGCTTGTCCTCTTGGTCGAAATTACTGCGTAGCGTAATTTACGTTTGTCGATTCGCGAAGCTTTTACCGCGACGTTCGTATGTCTTAGCATCCGATTACAACTATGCCGAGTCGCTAGTATTACGTGAACTTCAACGTGCGCACTTCTCTGAAGAAATTACAAGATTACAATCGAATAGAGCTTGTAGTCGCGCCTTTCAACGCCTTAAGCCATTTTTACAGGATGGGATTGTAAGGGTAGGTGGACGCTTGTCCAACTCGCAATTGAGTTTCGACCAACGGCACCCTATAGTTTTACCGCGTAAAGACCATATCATGAACTTATTAGTCGATTATCATCATAAATTGAACTCGCACGCTGGCCCCGATTTATTGATGTCGATCTTGCGCCAGAATTATTGGATTCTTTCTGCACGTAGTTTAATACGCAATCGGGTGCACAGATGTATAGCTTGCTTTCGGGCACGCCCCAAGCCGTCATTTCCGGAAATGGCGGAACTTAGATCTTGTAGAGTGATACAATCGGTAAAGCCCTTCACGCACACCGGGTCTGATTTTGCTGGTCCGTTTAAGGTCACGCTCACTCGCGGGCGTGGTATAAGATCCACAAAGGCTTACGTCTGCATTTTCGTATGTCTAACTACTCGAGCAGTGCATATAGAACTCGTTGGTGATCTAAGCACAGCAGGCTTTATGGGTGCATTTAAAAGATTTCTATCGCGCAGAGGCCCTGTAAGTAGATTATATTCGGATAACGGTACGAACTACGTCGGTGCAAAACGTATTCTATCGGAACTACATGAGCTCTTAGCTAGCAAGTATTATAATTCGGAGTTCGCTCACATTCTAGCCGAGAACCGCATTGAGTGGTCTCTGAACGTCCCAGCCGCGAGTCATTTTGGGGGCAATTGGGAGACTAATATTAAAAGTCTAAAGAGCCACTTATACCGAGTAATAGGAGATCAAATTTTGTCCTTCGAAGAGCTAAGTACGGTGCTCGCTCAAATTGAATGCGTAATGAATAGCCGCCCACTTTGTCGGACGTTATCTAGTGACCCCTCGGAACCGCTGGCTCTAACTCCAGCACATTTTTTGACTTTAACGCCTCTAAGGTATCTGCCCGCCGCGGATATGGATGAGAACAGACTTAGCATTTCCACACGCCACAAATTATTAGATCGGTTAGTGCAATCGTTTTGGAAACGATGGAGGATGGAATACTTGCATACTTTGCAGTCTCGGCAAAAATGGAACACAGCGACAGAGCCTTTAGCTGTAGGAACCGTAGTTGTGCTCACTAAGGAGAATACGCCGCCTCTCCACTGGCCGTTAGGAATCGTCGAGGAGGTCTTTCCCGGTTCCGACGGAGTAATTAGGATAGCTCGCGTTAAGACCACGGTTGGGTCTTACCTACGTCCGGTTATCCGTTTGTGCCCCTTGCCTCTTCCATAATTTAAATTAGCTTTTTAGACTGAAATTGTAGTTTAATTTAGGTAATCTTAGCGTTAGTTAGTTATTTGTTAGTCGATCTTAGCTCTAGTTGTTTAGTTATTTTTTTTTGAAGGAAATCCTTCAAGGGCGGGGGGAGATGGTTGCGCGGAAAACCATTCGCGTTTTTTTTATTTTTGACGGTAGGAACTTGTCGAATCATTATTCCCTTCCGAAACAATATCATTCGTACCCTCCTATCGACACATCGGGGTGGTGGGGTGGGAGGGGAAAGAAGACGATTCTAGAACATCGCGTAATCATCGGACCCGAGGATATATAAGACACGCGCGACCGACGCGCGCTCTCTTCTCCCGCCGCAGTCGTCGTTGAACTACAACCTCTCTTCTCCCGCCGCAGTCGTCGTTGAACCAACGCTTCTCTCCTGACGCACCACTGGGGCCCCAGAAGTGTCTGTCCAGAGGAGGTTCCGGAAGTCGCCGCTATAGTGATCGACAGGAAGAAGAAACCCCGGTGAGTCAATACTCCTTAATTATACCTGCTTGCTAATAATTTAACCCGCTCCAATCTGTGTTTTTTTTTTCCTAGTCAAGCAGGATTCCTTTCATCGATTCGACAAGTAATAGTTTAGTTTAGGGAAGAGCGAGTGCATTGTACCGCATGCTATAGTAGTCGCTTTTAACGTAAGCGTAGAAGCAATCGCATATACAGTCCACTTTAGTTAATATCTCGCGTAATAGGTTTGAGGTTTGACCGGGGAACTAGATTTTCGGCAGCCTTAAACACGTGGCTCCACCAGGCATCTTATTGAATTAGATTCTTTATCGCCTTAATTTTTTTCGATATTATTTCCTGATAATGAACGAAAATGTTTCAAATAAAGTTTATTCCTGCGTGTAATATTGTGCGTAAAGTCTATGCGGGTAATTTTGTTCGTAAATTTTTTGGCATCAAGTCGATAGTGTGTATCCGAATTTCGAATACGAAAAATGTCAATGGGTGGGAATTCCCCTTGACCTCAATATTTACTTTTGTTGATTTTCATCGTTGGTTTTTGAATAATACAATCATATACGTCAAAAACATACCACGAAATCTGGATTTATTGTACACTAATTACACTACAGTAAAAAAAAAACAAGCAACACTGATTTTTTTTGTTTTGATTTTAATTGATCTGTATCTATTTCTATTAGTTATGTTGATTTTGTTTTTGATTTTGCCGGACTTATAGGTGTGGCAATAATAAATTGGTAAATTATAGGGGTAATATGACAATAATGTTGATTGGTTTAATTTTTTTTATTGTTGTTTGTATTAAACAAAAAGCATTTCTTGTTTTGGAATAAAAAAATTACAAGTATTAAAATACTTTTATTACAAATTATATTGCTGGATAATTATTACGTAATTGTCGGATAATTATTAGATAATTATCAATGAACATTATTATTTTGATAATTTGCAACTCTGAGTTTGAGTTTAAGGCCAAACTAGGCAAAGGCAGGCCTCTATCACTCTTGCTAACTGCGTGAAATAATTACCTAAAATCGCGACGCGCCCGGGCGAAATAACGCAGTCAGGGCTAGCGCGTTGGAGGCAATTGAATGTTAGAGTTTTTTAACGCTGTTTACGTAAATAGTTTTATGTAAATACTTGTTGAAATAGTTTTTGTTTAGTGTTTAGTATATTTAATTGTAGGTAAAAATAGTTGTAAAAATTTTAATGTATTTTAAAAGTTATATAAGATGTATATTACCTATTTGATAAATTATAATAGCAAAACGTCGTTCCTACTATAACTGTTGCTTAGATGGATACCAAATGAAATGACCAACAAAAGGTTTCATATAATTTTTTAAGTTACCGAAGAATTTTAGAAGGAAGTTATGAAAGGTGAATTTATTTAATTTTTTTGTTAGATAGGTACTCACAGCAAAAAAGAATTAAGTAATAATTTGGTCTATAAGAGAAATACCTAAGTACTTCATTACAAAAAATAGTTAAAATTTAATTCATTATCCAAGTGTTTACTTACATACCTATACTTATCTTTTGTAATTAAAATATTTTGAGTTATAATAACACAAAATACTGAAATTAAAACTTTGTATACTAACAAGATTTTTAACTAAATAGAATAGATCACATTTCTGTTAGAAATCGTATTTCAGGTTTATTTGTTGTTTACACTATCTACCTATTTCTCCCAAGCGTTACGATTTCCGACGAATGACCTTGCAATTTGCATGCGTTAGGCATCGCAGAACTCACATATGGGCGAAAGTACGGTTAGTCAATCATAGTCAGAGTATTAGTTAGTACTTCACCTAAGTAACATAATTAACATTTCGCAATGTATTTTTTTACTTTCTATTGACATCCCTTAAAAACCACGAAAAGTCCGCCGTGACAAAAAAGATGCAAAGTAATATGGACATTAGCGCGCAGCGATAGTTTTATTTAGCTTGCGTGTGCGATTTATCTGAGCAATAATAATTATGTAGGCTATTAAACGTTGGTAAGCAGTCGACATCAAAGGAGTGCAACTTCTGTACGTAGTACTATTATTTATTCTGTGGCAAAGGTAACTTATCTATCACAATATTTACCTCTCCCGATGCCCTTTGATATCTTTCACTTTTGCTTCCAGCTCCTTCGCCCTGGCAGCTGTCTCGTTTTGTGTCACTTTATCTCGCTCTACAGCCGCACTCAATTGTTCTACCTGGAACCATGACAAAGCAACTACTGTATTAATGAAATATTGCCACTGCATGAGGTGGTTCGATCGTCAAAAAAAAAGATTGCTTGATAAAAAAAACTGATTGTTGACTGTTGTCACAGGACACTGGAATTTAGGTATCACTGTTGAAAGTGAGTTCGTGGTCCTCCGATCTCTAGTGTAGCCCGCACGACATTATATAATTGTGTTAAGTGTACAATAATGAGCAGTATATTTAAAGTCATTGCAAGAGTTACACGTCTCCCTTTTATTAACACCTTCCAACATCACATGGCGACCCTGACAGCATTTGTACTACAACTACATGATACTACTATAACTATATAGTAGTACAACTATATAAAAATGTACACGATTAAAAACATTAGACACTATTACTAGTTTTAAAAGAAATAGCAAGTTTTTCATTCAATTTTTTTTTTGAAAAATAACAGATTACAATCATATGCTATGTTTTCTTTAATAGAATAAGGGTGACAAACAAGCACACAGTCTGATGGAATGATTCGATTCCAGTAAAAAAGGGTCTCCGGATCTCTACACTCCCCATACAAAATACAGCAATATTAAGTTGCGATTTTACGCTGGTATTCTTTCTGTAAGAGCATGGTCCTTTCCCGGTCGAGCCGACCCATTTGTGCTACAACCATAATATAGCTGCAGCGTGGCTCTACCATGTATAAAATTATATATGTTACATAATTAACTACACAAAACAAATTAGAAATAGTTTGGTAGCGATCACATTATTTCCAGGGGTTGTAATCACCCCATAAATTCCTTAATATTTTAATAGCCTTTTTTATATGATCTTTATTTAGTAAAGTTTTTGAACTCAGCAGAGGTCAAATTTTGTATATTTTATTACATTAAATAGATAATGATCAACTATTGATACACCAAAGACGCAATCTTAAGTCTATGTTGGCAAAGCCATTTCTCCTTTGGACATGTTGTTAATGTTATGTGATTGCGAATGTTCTAGTACCTTCCGATTATTGTAGTAGAATAACCTCGAATTAATCTAGAAAGTTCTAATAAGAGCGTGTGCCGGCGATTGGAGAGTTAATTGAACTCAACTTCGGGAATCGAGTACGATCATTCGACCTACGTTATCTCGTCGTCGTCGTATCTACGTTATCATACATCTGCAATTATTAAACGAAAAAGATTAGCGATTTTGGACGACGCAATTGTGCACTTGCTAGATATGTGAAAAAATAAATCCTTTTCATCCAAATTGTCGTTAGTACTCACCCCGCTCGTTACAGTATTAGCAGAGTGATTATCATTTTTTTAAACTACTAATATTTTTTGTACATACTTAACATTCGTAAATGTTTTTAGAGGTTAATTAAGTTACTCTACCTTTTGTTTGAGCGCGTGTATCTCTGCATGCAGCTGCGCGTGCGCCGTGGCAGCCACGCGCGCTTGCGCCACGCCCAGCTCGTGCCGCGACACCTCCAACCTGTGCCACACATGCCACTGTACTACATGTTGGGGGAAGGGGGGGGTTATAGAATAAGGGTAACAAACGAGCGAAAAATGGTAGAGCCACGCTGCGGCTATATTATGGTTGTAGCACGAATTAATCGTCTCGCACGCCCAATGTAAAATAGCAGTTTAATGTTGCTGTCTTTCGTATGGTGGGTGTGGAGATCCTGAGACCCTTTTTTACTAAAAACGAGACATTCCATCTCAGTCCTAAGGGGTGACTACGCATCTGCATTTTGATTCTAAATCGAGGATGGATGTAGATAGATGCGTATAGGCCACAGCACCCACTTACCATCAGATGGACTGTGTGCTCGTCTGTCACCCTTTTTCTTTATTAAAAAGAACCCAGACATACTTCTGTTGTAGCGCAACATGTTTATCTGCAAGCTGCTGGAGCGAGTTCAACTCGGCGGTGCATGCAGACAACTGTTGTTCTACCTCACGCAGCTCCGCCTCCAGCTGCTTCAGCTCTTGCAGCTGCATCAGCACCGACCCACCCTGACAATATACAAGTCATCAATCACTTCTAACCACTGCTTTGAGACGTGTTTTCAAACTACTAGACTATAATCACAGTTTAAAGAACTAACAGTTGTGAAACGCCTTTGATGTCAGGCGATACCGCCGCCAGGGTTAACACTTTACTATTTACGCCGCCGTCGCAACTATGCTAGGGGTTGTAACGAAATTGGGAATAAAATAATTTTGAATATTATGATACTCATTATCATTTACAAACATTATTTGTATGTTTATAAGTTAAAGACATTTATTGAACAAGATTATTTACAAGAAAAAATACATTTACAAGTGTTGCACTGCCAAATATTTTCGTGACACTTTCTATTTACAGATGTTTTCAGTTTTCGATTTCATGTTTTCAGCATTCAGGTAAACAATTTTATCAAAAAAATGAAGGAAACATAAGCATGGCCATCACTTAAATTAAAATTTACGGATGTTAAAGATAGGTAATAGTGACTCATCTGGGCGCGAGCTCCGCCGGACAGCGTGCCGGCCGGGTCGACACGTCGCCTGCAGCTTGACTCACCACAGTGACTCAGCTGGGCGCGCGCTCCGTCGGACAGCGTGTCGGCCGGATCGAACACGTCGCCTGCAGCGTGACTCACCGCAGTGCCTTACCTGGGCGCGGGCTCCACCCGACAGCGTACCGGCCGGGTCGAACACGTCACCGTCGAGCGTGACGGCGCGGCGCCGCACGCGCGGGTGGAACGTGACGCGACGCGCTGTGTCCAGGTCGCGGCACACCAGCGTGCCACCGAACACCCACGCCATGGCAGGTTTGAGTCGCTGATCGTATGACACCAGGTCTAGAGCCAGCTGCACGTTCTCCGGACCGCCGCCCTGAATCAAATAGCGACAAAATAGACAGAGCCACGTGTGGGATACAACTGCATATTTCTGTTGACGTTAACATTTTACGCAAAACAATCGCTATAGTTTGATTATAAAAATTGTTTGTCATATTTAACTTAACTGCGATGAGCGCGAACCCATTCGCATTCTTTATAGCACACGAGCACACAATCCACCTGATGGTAAGTGGATGTTGTGGCCCATAGACATCTACATTTATCCTCGATTAAGAATCAAATCGCAGATGCGTTGTCACCCCTGAGAACTAAGCTGGAATGCCTCGTTTCGAGTAAAAAAAGGGTCTCCTAAAACTGCTATTTTACGCTGGTATTCTGTTCTCACACAATGCCAGTGGTCTTTCTGTAGTCTAGCCGACCCATTTATGCTACTGTGGCCGAGGAAGGAAAAGGGGAGATCTCCCGCCGGGCAACGTGTTCTGCCCGGGGAGCGGCCAACACTCCGTGTGATAGTTCGGAGATGCTCTATATATACGGTTTATGATTCGGAATTTTTGATAGCGTGATTTAGGCTTCGGTGTGTTTCACTTGCGGCACGACTACAGCGCCGCCACACTACAACCATAATATAGCTGCAGTGTGGCTCTACCACGTATTTGCATTTAGCATTGCCCTTTGGCATTTTAACATAAGATTCAACATATTTTAATCTTAAATTTTCCACTCCTTTAATTAACCGTTTTACATAAAGTCAATTTTGGTACTTCATGCCGAATGGTCAAAATACACTGATAACGCCTAATTTCTAAAAATACTAAAATGTGTAAGCATATCGTTCTTTTTTTAATTATCAAAAATTGGCTTACCCCAGACCTCTATAGTAGGGACAAACAGGAGCTCTACGATGGAGCAAGTTTACCCAGGAGAAGCCTGTTAACACGCACCTTGAAGAGGTCCAGGTTATAGGTACTCGGGAAAAAAATTAGTAATAACACTTAGGCATGTCATCTCCGGTTGTTCGGCTCTTTCTAATTATGTGTACTTGCACAGAAACAATCTAGTAGCCAGGATTCTACACCAGGAGCTCGCTCTGAAATACAGTCTCGTCGATTGGAAACTGCCTTATTGTAAGTACATGCCGGAAGCCATGCTCGAAAATGACCGCGCCAGACTACTGAGACCGGGCCATCATCACAGACAGGACAATTCTTGCAAATAAACCTTATATTGTACTCATGGACTGATGGTCGAAATTACTATTCCGTATGACGAGAACCTCGTGAAAGCCGAAAGAGATAAGAAAACAAAATATCTGGACTTGGCTCACGAGGTGACTGACATGTGGGGTAATCAGCCGAAGGAAATTATTCCTGTAGTCGTCTCTGCGAACGGGCCAATCTCGGACAGCCTCTCGGGTTATCTGAGGCGACTGGGACTCCGTGACGTATTGCTCCGGGCTCATATACAGAAGGTGGTGCTCCTCAATACCGCCCGCATCTTCCGCCGGTTTCTTTCCGTTTCCCCCTAACCCTCGACCGTTTGGTTTCCCCCGCCGTGGGCTTACATCTGGTTGAGCTTTTCATATAAAATAAGGACGACAATTTATTGATGTTAGTATATGTAATATATATTTATTATTTATTATTATTTTTTTTGTTTCTTAAAAAGAATATTAACAATGCTATAAGCATTACTAATATTCCCCTTAACCACTCGTGGTAAGCTTAAGTTGCATGTGTTATGAGTGGTTCACGCCAGTAGTCGAATGGCGGATTCGTACCCACGACCTTTTTGAGTTCGCAGTCCGCGCCCTGCTATTAGGCTACTGTCACTTCAATCCTTTTACATATTTATTCAGCCCAACCAGATGAGAATTCTTTATAAATACCCCAAATAGTAATAACAGGGAGTAGTAGGGAAATGACGATGCCATCGCATGCTGGCGTAACAGTTGAGTGACAAAACTGCTACGTCAGCGGAGTCAGTCAGCGCCTTACCAAGAGGTGTGAACGCCGTGCCTCGGCAGAATTGAGGGTGCAGACCCGTTTGTGCTTACGGTACGCATCAAGAAACGGTGCCGGGCTTGGGCGTCTCTTGTTAATTGACACCCATTTTGTAGATGTTGGAAGAAAATGAGTGCGCAAAGGGACGCTGCCTGGAAGTCGCAGGGCGCGCATGGAGCTGGCGCTGGATGCAACAGCATGCGGGCCGCCAGCCAACCGCGTGCAAGACCACCTAGCAGCCACCCACATCTTTCATCCCCAATGGAGGGCTTCGTGTCGGCTGGGTCTTCTCGGACTCAGTAAGCGGCACCCACCGCTGGTGGGGAACGTCGCATGGGTTGGACAGTATTAATGAACCCAAACGCATTGCGGGCGTATTTTAAGGCAAAAGGGGTAGAAACTGGCAGGTTTATTATGGTTATAGGTTATAGTTTTAGTTACGTCCTTTGCCAGGAAGTTAGTTCCCACTGTTTGTATCGTCAAGTCAGTGCTAAAAACTCCCACTACCGGATCCAACATAGACTTTACAGCAAAATGGTTCTTGAAAAGATTTGCAATCTCCTTGGGATTGTTTATGCCATCGACTCTCACCCCTTTAACGTATCTCCTCAGTTCAAAGCACTCCCCTTTATTTTTATTTTATTCTTATTGAAAAACTTACAGCTAACATTAACAGTAAATAAATGAATAACAACTAGAAGGCCATTTAAAAGTTTTCACCTATAGGCAATATGAACTTAAAAACAATAATGAACAAAAATTATGGCTCAACTAGCATCAGAATCCTCGGCGTCGACGTATCGAATAGTCGTGTCGTGTCAGTTTCTTGTTCACTTGGAAGGGAAGGCTCTAAAAAGCTTGGCGTGCTCAGCAGACCGAGTCAGTATTTCATGCCGGCACATCGCTTGCAACTTTACAAAGCGTTAGTTCGGCTTCATATGGAATACTGTTCTCATATCTGGGCCGGGGCCCAGCGCCAGCTCCTTCCACTTGACCGGATCCAGCGCAGAGCGGTTCGAATCGCCGACGACCGAGTCTTTTCTGATCGGCTCGATTCACTGGCGCTGCATAGGAATGTTGCATCCCTACCTTTGCATTTTCTATCGCATCTACCACAGGGAGTGCTCTGAGGAATTGTTCGGATTAGTTGCAGCCGCCAAATTTCACGACCACACATCGCGTCAAAATTCACGATATCATCCTCACCATCTAAATGCTTTGCGGTCCACCACTGTGCGTTTTACTACGAGTTTTCTTCCTCGTACAACTTCTCTGTGGAATTGTGAACCGGCGATTTTTCCGGACCTATACGACTTAGGTTGCTTCAAGAAAAGAGCTTACTCCTTTCTAAAAGGCCGGCAACGCACCTACAATGCCCCTGGTGTTGCGGTTGTTTATGGGCGGCGATATTCACATACGTGTATGAAATGGGTCGAACGAATTCACTACAAGAGCGAATAAGAAAACCAAATATACAAAATACTTATATTTACTATATACTATATTTTAAGAATTCTTCTTTTTTAATGTTTTATTATGTGATTTCTGTCGCAGAGTTATGAACATTCGTAATAAACATTTTTATATTTTTTGCGGAATTTTCTTATATGCTGCCCGGAATGTACTGTAAATCTCTGGCTACACCCGCTTTACCCACATAATGATACTTTGTTGGATTTTTTGTGATACGTTACTGTCTGCCATCCGTCTTTTTTATTATTTTCATTTGTCAGAGTTTCACGCACGACGACCGGGTGCTCTGATTGACCTTGTCCTGTTACACCAGTACAGCCGGATTTATCAGTAGCGGTCAGCGGGTCCGCAAGCTCAAGAGCGGGGCTCTGTGAGTGTGACGTCACGACGTCAGCACTACACTCGCTCGCCTCCCGACAGCTGCGGCGGCGGCCAGCGTTGCGTTACCCTCACATCTCTATACTCTGACATGGGAGATTTGAACTCGTAATTTCATTTACGTTGTTTACGCAAGACACATTACTCGAACTATTATTATCATGTGAAAGACCCATACTGTCTAGCCAAATACCTAGTCAGTCGTTATGTATGCGAAGAATTGACGATATAAGTCTGTCCACGCTATATTGGATACAATACAATACAATAACTTTATTTCAGGCATCAAGGACTTAAAAATAAGAACATTGGCCTATAGCGATATATACCTCAACCTAAAAATATATATAAAATATAAATATAACACTATTTACATACACGCGAAACATTACCCCAGAGGGCCAGAAATCGGAAGCAAGAAATATCTCTTTGTATTTTGCAGGAACCTGGAGTACGTAGGAAGTTCGTGGGCCTATTAGACTCCAGATGCTGCAAATGTAAAGAGATCGGATCCTCTATGCGGCATCGCCTTCGTTCTTCCACTACACGCAGTACGTCTTCTCGCGACGTACTTTTGTCCAAACGGGAGATGAAGAGCTGTATGGTGGGCTCGACAATACGCAGAGTTGTGCTTGCGTTGATTTTGGCAGTCCCACGCTGTTTACAGACGGGTCTCGACCGACGTCTCGTCGCAACAAGAGTAAACCTGTTACGGATCGCCGTAACGCCGTTCGAAAAATGAATGAAACGCGTTGGTCTTGCTTAAATAGGAGGCAAGCGGCGGTGAGGAGGAACTTGTACTTTTTCTTGCTGTTTGTTGCCTTTTCGGTGGCTGGGGAGCGACTGCCGACCTTACCGGCCGGCCCGTCTTTTATATGATTTGGCCGCTGCTGGCTAGCGGACCCTTGCTTCACCCCCCGCGCCTTTCTTTATTTGGTAAAAACTCTTATAAACTAACAAACAGAATTAAATGTGTGATATTCTTATAGCTACTTATTACATTATTATGTACACAATAATTATTTTACATATTAAAAAGGTTTAAACTTTATATTTGACAACTTTAGGCTGAGGACCCTGCCCCGCACCTCAGCACTATAAATATAAAACGTCGTGGCGCGGTGCGCGTAGCCTCATTTGCTCCGCGGCCGCGTCACGATAACATGTCCCTGTTGAT